ACTCTTTAATTTCTGCTCCAGAGGCTCCCTACAACAACATCTGAAAGGTCAAAAACTGGTTTACAGGGTTATAAAACTGTATTTCTTTAGAATTATATTATTCTTTTTTATCATGAGAAAATAAATATACACGTTTTAAATGTTGTAATTCGTCAATATGGAGCAACTTTTGGAAAGTACTGAGTAAATAAGTAGTAAACATAATCATCAACACATGTATTTATATACAATGTAACTTCAAGTGTCAAATAAGGTCAGTAGAAGTACTAAGTAGCAGAAGAAGATGGGAATACTCAAGTAACGTACAAGTTCCCCAAACATATACTTTACTTACTTGAGTTAATGTACTTATAGTAGTTACATTCCACCACTACTCAGTTGCCCAAATTGACTAGCTCTATTTACAATGACATCTTCCAGAAGGCGTTGAAACTCTCCAAAGACCAGGTTGCACTACTGTATCGCTCTATCTGTGCACCATGGTGTGTGGGCCAGACATTATGAAGTGTGTGTGTGTGTGTGTGTGTGTGTGTGTGTGTGTGTGTGTGTGTGTGTGTGCGTGTGTGCGTGTGTGCGTGTGTGCGTGTGTGTGTGTGTGTGTAAATGTTTGGCCTGTAGGCCGGAGTGTTATTGCTGATTCAGCTTCTAGCAAAGAACAGATTGTCTCAGAGGAGATTCTAATAGAACAATATGTGGAAAAGCTAGAGAGAGAGAGAGAGCAGTATTTGCAGACGAGAACATTGAGTTTTTGAGTGTTGATTCTCACTTTTTAAATCAATCTGCTCCTGCAAACTTACACATTCAAACAGAGACCAAAAGACTCACAAAGAGCATAAACAGACTTCAAAGTTCACCTATCATGCAATATTTAGGCAATAGCATAGGTCTCAAATATATAAACATGTATAAAAAACATGTCTATGAAGTGTTTTGCTCAAAATACCAAACAGCTCACCCATTCTAGCCATGCCTCATATCCCTCTATTTCACTTCCTGTTACTAAAGTGCTGATTCGGGGTAGCCTATAAAGCTTTAAAAAAAAAAGAGGGGGCAGAGCTTATGCCTGCTCATGCGGGACCCGGCAGATACTGTCTAAAATAAATGCTGCGGTGATGAAACGCCAAAACCACATCAAGGACCGCCGTCGACCCCCACTCCCCCTGACCATCAACGGCGCTGCTGTGACGCAGGTGACCAGCACCAAATTCCTTGGTGTGACCATCACTGAGGACCTCACCTGGAAAAACAACACCACCGCACTAGCGATGAAAGCACAGCAGCGCCTGTACTTCATCCGGAAGCTCAAGCGAGCCGGAGCATCACCCCCCATCATGCTGTCCTTCTACCGAGGCGCCACCGAGAGCATCCTCAGCAGCTGTATCACGCTGTGGTTCGGAAGCTGCACCACCGCCGACCGCAAGAGCCTGAAGCGCATAGTGAACTCTGCCCAGAGGATCATCGGTGCCTCACTCCCCTCACTACAGGACATATACAACACCCGCCTCACCCGCAAAGCACTCAGCATTGTGGGTGACTCCACCCACCCCTCCAACAGCCTCTTCAGCCTCCTGCCTTCAGGAAGAAGGTTCCTCAGCCTCAGCTCACGCACCTCCAGGCTGGGCAACAGCTTCCTCCACCAGGCGGTCAGGTTGCTGAACTCTCTCCCCTCCCTCCATCTCTTCCGCCCTCTGACATCTCTCCCCTGAACTCTCCACCCTGCCTCCGACCTTTCTCCCCTGCCCCAAATGGTCCTGGACTCTAACCCCCTAAACTCACTCTTCTGCCCATCTCCGCTGCTACTGCACTGAAACTGTACTTTGAACACTTAAATTATATTATTAACATTTTAAACTGTATACCCCGGTTATCTAGGCCCTTTGTTTTGTTTAATGTATACCATGTTTATCTAGGCCCTTTTTGTTTTTTGTTTGATGTATATATGTCACACTGTAGGACTGCGGGAAACGATATTTCGATATTTCTGGATGTACAACATGTAGAATTATTGACAATAAAGCTGACTTTGACTTGAAGGATTATTTCTGAAACATTATGGAGCTCAAAAGCTTTCCCTCTTGCTGGTTTATCACAAGGTGAGTTCCTTTTTATTTCCTGCTTCTTCATACATGTGCTCTCTGCAGTACTGGTTAGCTGTGAGTGTTAGCGATGCTTGCTAATGTAAACAAAGGCCATATTACGTCCAATACACGTCGGGCATTGATTCTGATAGCGAGTTTCTGATAGGGCCGTGGGTCCACCACGTGGGTGCCACCCGATATGACGTAAATAACGTCATATCAGATGGCAAATCTAGATCAGCTCGTTGTAGCCCCGTTTTTCAGAGATTTGCGCACGGAGGAAAAGAGAGAGGGTTTTATTTTCTGACACTTTGTGAGTTCCCTGACATGCCGGGGACACATATTTATGTATAAAAGACATCAAAAAGTGCATTTTGCATGATAGGTCCCCTTTAAATCTACTAGTGTTGGAACACTTTTTGCGAAACCTGTCCTTTTATTACAGACACGGCCCACACTATTTACCATTACCTCGTTTAATTTAGACTGTGGCTAAGACCCTTTATTTACCTGAGCTCGATAGAGAAGCGGTTCAAAATCTGACAAAGGTTAATATTATACTCAAGACTTTCTTTAAATTGCCATATATTTTGTGTGTGTTATTTTATTGTTGCTGTTGTCTGCTGTTAATACAGACTCTTTTATTTAACATATAAATGTTTTATGCAGTTCTTATTTCAAATCCCACAAACCCATTTTTAAAGTTTTGTCCTTTGCCTCAACTTTAGTGAATGCATTGAAGGCATTTTCTTTTCTGAACTGACTCTTAACCTCTTGAAGATCCTATCTTTTGGAGGCTGTAGAAGGCTCAGTTTTAAAGACATTGCCACCACATGAAACTAGCAGACCTAATGAGTCCCTCGGTACCAACCATGTCCTATTGCAAAGGAAGCTAACAAGCTCCACAGTTAAGAAACTGGAATAGCCATACTCACAGGGTCACTTGGCCTTTTATCTCAAAATATCTTTTTAGTAAGCTGTTCAAAAGTGGTATTTTCGCCTATTCTAAAAAAAAATCTGCATTTGCACGTTCCTAAACAGTCGTGGAACTGCATACATTGGGTAACTGGAAGGCTTAATGTGAGGTGATGTTAGTTTACCCAACATTTTATTTTATTGAGACAAATCTTGACCTCTGTGTAAATGGACAGCATTTATAGGAAGCTTGACAGTCTTTCAACCCGTTAAAGTGCTTTTACAAGTCAGCATTCGCCCATTCACACACTTTCATACAGAGGCAGAGACTGAAATAAAAGGTTCCACCTCCTTCGGGAGAACAACATTCGCACACCTTCACACACACTTGGCAACAGGAGCAATTTGGGGTTGGGTATCTTGCCCAGGGACACATGGACATGTTGATTGCAGGGCCTGGGGATCGAACCAGCGACCTTCAATTGGAGAACGACCATCTACCTCCTGAGCCACACAGTAGCTGCTTGTTGTGACCCGTAGGATCATTCTCATCCTTGCTGGCATACACACCGACTTGTTTATAAGATATATCAGAATGAGGACACCAAAAATGTCCTTATTTGTCATGAAAAAAAGTACACACACACACACACACACACACACACACACACACACACACACACACACACACACACACACACACACACACACACACATCAAAGCTCTATATCTAGTTCTCTTATTTGGCCAGCAGTGGTGAGAAACTAGCAAACACAGCACAGATTGCCTTTAAGCAGCAGGTTATGATGTTGATGTCGCTACTGCACTTGCCATCTGCGCTTTGGAGGGCGATCAATGAAATCTCTACACACTTTTCAGGGATTAAAACTTGACCAGCAGGACCAGGACTGACCCCGTCTTCTTAGAACCCCATCGCACATTTACAAAAGCCTCCATATGTTTTCAAAACAAAGGCAGCTTCAGAAAATGACTTTCAATTTCTGCTCTGTCATCAGCTGCCTGCTGGATAAAGCCTGAAACGCAATGTCCAGTAAAGTAGTTACAAGATAAAGCATTAGTTAATTGTGTGGCTGATAGCAAAATGTATTTTCTGACTGACAGCAGTAACACATTGTGATAATTCACGACACATTGCCTATGCCTATACTTTATATGCTTATCCTCAGTAAAGAATAGTCCTGAGAATGCACTGAAATGGGCTTGTTTTCAATATAATGTCATGCATTCTTGGCAACTTTTCCTGAATTAGACAATTTATTTTGATCTACAGTCACTTAAATTAAGGAACATTTTAGAATTTTGATGACATTATTGGAACTATGTATGCGGTATTACTAGTATATGTTTAAAATGGACACTTAGGCTCAAGACTTTTTAATGAAGCTTGTAGTTAGGACTGGCGCCTAGTTATGCTACTACTGTATATGCTTTGACTGTCAGAGAATATGTACCTTTCAACTTTCTAATGCTACTATTATTATTTGTATGAACTCATGTTCCCATTATCACTGTTGTCAATTTGATTATCTATATTGTAATTGTATTATCTTTGGTTAATCTATACAGTCAACATCTATCGCACGTCTGTCAGTGTTGGGAGAGGGATCCCTTCTCTGTTGATCTCCAAGAGGTTTCTTCAATTTTTCCAAAAGGCCAAAGGGGATTCATATGCTGTATGTAATTGTATGTATATGTCATTTGTGATATTGGGCTATATAAAAGATTGATTGATCGATCGACCTTCAGAATCAGAATCAGAATACCTTTATTAGTCTCACAGAGGGGACATTTGCATTTGTATGCTGTGACAAAAATCACGACCAGGCTTTGCACCTAAATTACAACCAGATTACAGAAAGTCTGTAAAAGCAGATTAGCAGCAAAAATGCATTAAATCATTTGAATTTAATTTAGGTTGTTATCGCAAAATTCATGTATCTAATTCAACATCCTGCAACTGGAATTTGTTCTGTCATACACACTCACCTTGGTATCTGAGCAGCGCTGATCCGACCTGAGGCATCTGGCTGTGGAAGCGGATAGAGATCTGATTGCTGTGGCTTCTTATTACCAACCCCCTCATCAGGATGGACTCATTGGCCAGTATGGAGTTCTCCCCCTGGCCCACATCTTCAAACACCACCTTGTCTCCCTCAGATAGATTCACGTTCATCACCTGAAAGGAAAGAAAAAAACGGATTAGACCATTTATACCGCAGATAAAGAAAAAATAACAAAAGCTCTCTATTCTGGGATATAGAATCTCTTTTGGCGACGCATGACACCGACATTGAACCCCTAAAATAAAAAAGGCCCAGCAGTAGCAGTTAGGAATGTTCAACCCGCCACAGGAGTGCACAGGATAATCCAACTCTACACAGCAAGAGGGCCAAGATGTATTGGGTCCCTGTTCGTTCCTATGAAAGTTGCTTGGTGGCACATGAAGCAAAAATGGTCTTTCTCTCAAAAGCAAAACTACCTGGGGCCCATAGAGCATGTGCATCTATAGTTTTCTTAAACTCTCCCTCCAGTCCGCCTCGTTACGACAGCTTCATGGTCGGTCTTGGCTCAGCCCAATAAATGAAGCAGGAAAATAACTCTGGAGTCGGCTTTTGGCACATTTTACAACTTTTGGGACCTAATATTTTGAATAAAGGCTATTTAAGAGTTCATTTACAGATGTTGCTTTCACAATGCAATCCAATTGGAAAACTTGTTTTTGGGCCAAATGACGTCACTGACATGAAAGTTATAGTACCACCGTTTAGCCACTACACATATTTGTTTAATGCTCGGCTCACTTCCTTCCGTCAGCTGCTGTGCTGATCCTGGTACTGACCTCTGAGATGCACTCTCTGTAAATCTCACTATTTACATAATATATGTTTGAAGTCATTTCCATCAAAATTACACCCAACTCGCTAAAACTTCACAACAGCGGCTCCCCACATTATTCTGGATGATTTCAAAAGTAGCTTAAATGCTTTGCACTGAGTTCATCCGTTCAGAGTGGCTCATGCACATTCATCAGCCAGTGAGAAACAAAGCAGAGAATTTTCCAATTTCAGATCAGATACCAAAATTCTCTATCCTATAAAGATGGGCACAGGACTGCCAGCCTTCATGGATACATTTTACATTTGAAGCTTTGGGCACTTTGAGATAAAGGGGTTATTATTCGCACAGTTCCAGGGCTTGTTTGTATTCACTTGCATTCATTTCCTATTGAAATAAAATAAAGAATAGGCATCCGGTGAAGTCAAGAATGTTGACCTGAGGTACTTTGTAGTTGACCTCTCTAATTCCAATGTCAGTGGAAAGTGGAGTGAAGAGAGCCACACACATTTTCAGCATGTATTACAGCCTCGAGGGTCTGCTTTGCATAACGCTTGGGCACAAATCAAAAGTAAGAAATATGGAAGAAGCCAAAAGGACAACGTGTTTCTCAGTGATTACACTGCAGATAGGCCTGATAATTGTCAGCTTGTCTCCTTTGCTGACAAGACGTCTGGTGAGAAATGTCGCTTTTATCAGCTTTTATCACAGCAGGTACTTCTTTATTCAGGCATTAAAAGGAAGGGGGAGTCTTGTCTTCACGTGGCCCTCCATAGATCATATCAACTGCCTGCTGTCTCACATAGCTGGGGGATGAATCCTCAGCTCTCCTGAGGAAAGCAGCAGAGAGAGTCTGAAGTGAAGTGAATCCACTGACAGAACACAAGTGTCAGTTAACAGTGTGTTCATGGTGTGTGAACATCCAAACCAAACATCAGACTAATGTACAAACTGTGGTTTAAATGTAACATACTGTATACTGTATGTTTTATGATAAACAGTGTTCCAGACAGTCACAACATGTGGTACAAAACTATAAGTGCAGGGATGAAAAAGCATATACAAGTCCCAATGCAAGCATGTTGTTTCTCATGCCATGATATGAAAATGTATATTCATTTAGCTACTCATTAAAATCATAGAAGTAGGAAAATAGCAGTGGTTGTGATTTGATCATATGCATGACTCACCAGCAATTATGAAGTTGGCAACTACCGTACTACCTTTTAAAAAGAGGCGTGGCATAGGCCTACCATTTTTTTAACCTTAATGGAAAAGGGCATGAAAATATGTTGAATTTTGACTCAGTAGAAGCTGACCTTTAGCTATACAGGCTGCCCTGCTGAAAAAACCAGCATCGACCAGCTTAAGATGGTTGCTGGTTTTAGCTGGTATTAGCTGATGTTAGGCTGGTTTAGTTGGTTTACCAGGCTGGACAAGCTGGTCTTGTTGGTTCAAGACAGCTAAACCAGCATAGCCCGGCATGGATGTCATGCTGGTCTATGCTGGTTTTAGCTGGTAGTTAAGCTGGTCTATGCTGGTGAAGCTGGTATTTATGCTGGTCTACCAGCAGTCTTGCTGGCAAAACTGAAACAGACACAGACAGACAGAGAGGGCGGGACACGGGGGAACGGCGAGACAGTGGTTGAAACAAAGCGGTATAAAACATGGTTTTGACTGGCGCTAACGGTCGTCGGTCGGGAGTGAAGATCAGTTGAGTGTTTCTGTGACTCTGCCCAGCGGCTGCTCTTCTGAGAGGAACCGCTCTGATAGCTCTGTCTACTGGGAAACGCGCTAAAGGTCCTTCTGGAGGGAAGCAACACCACACAATTTCACCCAGTCTGAGAGTAAAAGCTTTCTCGAAGGTTCGTTTTGCTTTCTTACAACGTTACGTTAATGTTAACCATGTACATTAGTTGAAAACCGTAGAGAAAAAAAGCTAGAAAGTGAAACTTTATATTCATTTGTCAAACTTATCGTCAGATGTAGTCCTTTGAATGTTACAAAGTTTTCCTATTTGCGTTTTAAATCTAAAATTCAAGAGGAGTTCATGATTGTTATCACTTAAACCCACGTAATACTGCTTACATCATATTCTGCACCTACAGTCCGTTATTCAATTACAGTGCACTGAAACTTTACTTGCAGCCCACGTACAGTAGGAGTCCATCCAGCCTGAACGCAACATGAATGACTCACACTGCACGAGCTCTGGGCCTCTGCAGCGTGCTTGTGTCTAACAAGTCATAATGTGCCGTTAATGAACTCATGGACACAGCATCAGGATAATAGTGCGCTGAACAAAGGGCATCACCAAGTAATCACATTATGCCTTCAGCTCAGGGATAATAAAACACTTGAGGGAACATTGGGAGACTTAATCCAATTTGCCTTGGTACTAGTCCAGCTTCTGTATAACTGTACCTCACAAACATAATCATGAGGGGTGAACCCACGTCTGGATATTTTTGTATTATGCTGACTTTATAATGGATCACAATATACTTTCAAATATGAATTATTGGCAGCAGTTAAGGAAACTTGAGGTATTAAAGGAAATTGACATGTCAACAAGTTGCCACATTAAACAGTTTTGACAGCTAGCTGAGATCACTGAGGGATTAGTAAACTGATAGCTGCTGACATGTCTGTCTACACTAGACAGTCCTAAACTCAACCCTCTTAAATTGTAAATGTCCTCTTTTTACAGTTCATTAGCTTCACCTCATAAAGCAGTAGCAATAGCACAAAAGCTGTTAAAGACACAGACTGTCTCGATTCAGAGGATTCCCTGAGAACGCTGCCCTGTCGTGCACTGGTAATACTTACACACTGAGTGAATTTCAACCGTGTAGTTTTGTCTTGAATTACACACAGCTGCTGTGCTCACATGAATCACATGAAGTGATTGCCGTTGTTAGCTCACTAGCTAGCAGCAATCATTTGCAGTATCAAATCATTACAGACTGCTCAATTAACCCTATCAACTTACAGTGGGTTCATTTGTTCATCTTCTGTTTTCCTTGGACAAGCCTTTTAATAAACGTTCAGTATTGTAAGACATCAGTTCGGGCTTTCAGCAGCTTTTTTGGTTTTCCAGTATTATTGCTCATAAAGAATTTACATCACAACACGTTTGTACTAAATGTCATGACAACCCATCCCCAAAACCCTTGGGGATATACTGTAGGTTCTGGGAATTATGAATGAATGCAAAAAGTGTTATGGCTGAACATTTAATATTTCAACCATTTTTAAAGATATTTTAGTCTTGACCAAAGTGGTCGATTGACCAATATCACTAGAGCCACCTATAACTAGCTACCACAAGTTGGATGAAAGTGAAACAAGATAAAAATGCACAATTAAGGGCATTACGTTTATATTCTGGTTTAATATATCGCACTGCGTATGTTGGTTTCTATCTTGAAACTAAACTTGCACATTGTGAAGAGTTTATCCACACCATACAATAATCTAAGCAATAAGAATATAGGATGAGATCTAAGTTGGCAAAAATAATGTGATACAATGGTTTTGTTCTCAAATGCAGTTCACTGTGACATGGTAAACTGCTGATATATGCGAAGAAATCCTTGATTACATGCTAAGTTTGATTGAACATGGATATACAGTGTATATATATAACTGGCCATACATTTAATGACAAAGGATTTACATCACAACAACTTTTACATCTTAAGTGGGGTTGATAATACGCAAAAAATCAGGTGGGGGCAGAAACATGTTGGGTAAGAGGGTCCAAATATATTATGAGGGATGGTTTGAGATCAAGGTTGTGGTTGTGTTGCTTTGACTACTAGTTAGTACTACTAACTGCATTTAAAATATATTTCAAAGGCAAATCAGACTAGAACATGTATATTTTGTAAAGGCAACGTTGATCATTGTCATGAGCAATCCAATAAAAGGTTCTGATGAAAACCAATATTGAATTAAAAAGTCTTCTGAATCCTTGTTTTATTATTTATATTTAGAGTGTAATCAGTTCAAAATACTCTTTGCTGAACTGACAACTTGCAATATGGCCGCTACAGGATGTCTTACTAAAAGCCTTGTACTAAAATATATTCCTCTTTATTTCATCATGTTACTAACATATTTACATGCTGAATAACTAAACCCTCATGAAAGCTCTTATCTTCTGCAGCGACGCAGCGGAGAAAAGAGAACAGCGTACGCTGTGGTGTAAAGAGAAAAGCCTCTCTGACATCCATTTACTTTATAAAAGCAACAAATGACAGCTGAATAATTCAACTGACACTCCCTCATTAAATATAAGCCGACAACTTTGGGGGACAGCATAGAGGATGAGAGCAA